ACTTAATATATTCATCCACCGAGTTGATGTGATCAGTGAAATGTTGGACTTCCTGGGCTTTCATTTTAACCCAGAAAAATAATGGCCATGTGATGTGAGTATCAGTCACCTGGAGGCAGGACTCAAAAGCCTGAATTTTGCCTGAAACTCTCAGACTGAAGAAGTCTCTTGGAGGAGAGACGAAACGTTTCATTAGAGAAGAACCCGTCCAGAGGACCTATACAATTTTTTTCTTTTTGATTTTTTACCTGGATTACTGAGATGCATCAGGACACTTTGTGATGACCGTATAACACCAATTATAAAACATTTTTTAAAACCACATCATTAAATCAACTTTTTTTAAACAATGAAGGACAGTTGTCAATTTTTATACATTACAAAAGCATGACTTTTAATCTGTATTCCACGAGAAAAAAAACATTAAAAATGCTTGGAAAAAAACCTTGCCTTGTTGCACACATCAAAACATGTTGGCAAACAGAATCAAAATGGAAAACACGAAACATTCTTCACTGGGAAACATYGCAGAAGCATCTGTTCAGCACGTTTAAAACAAAATAAAAACACTTTATGTGTCCTTATTAATATCTTTACTCCAAGAAATCCATATTTTTCTTTCACTTTCTGKACTGCCCCAGCTTTAGGTGTGGTAGTATGAAACTATACCAAGCAGTGATGTAAAGGCTAAGGGTGACATAACATAGGTCTCTGTTTTCCATGCTGGGTTACAGTTTAAACAGCTGCTGAGGGCCTGACATGACTCCTGCTGGAAGTGGAGAGGAACCAAACAAAACAGTCTGCAACACCACTGAGGAGTTACACAACCTCCTGCTTCTGTTGCTTTACCTGGTTAATACCATGATCCTTGTAATGTTGAGATCTGTCTGTAAATGAAGCTCACCTGGCTACAGTATCACTTCCAGCAGATGCTCATTAACCATCAAGGTCAAGGTTTTTAATTAGTGATAACGTTCAGGGAGCGCCAGCAGGGTTAGTGGAGTCACAGATCTGAGACTCTATTTCCAGCAGCTGGAAGAACAAAGAGTTCAGATTTATTATTGCAAATGACCAATAAATGACTTTTATATCCTTTGTGTCATCTGATTCATCCTTTGAGTCTGTTTTATGAAGAGTTGTGTAACGGGGGCTCTGACGTCAGATTGTTTGAACATTTAACAAAGTGTTGGTGATTTCTTCACCTGCAAAACCTGCTCCTGTTAACACAGGATGTTATTTGGTAAAACAATACACAAGGTGAACTTTCCATGTTTTTTTTTTAACTTTATCCTTTGGAAAGAGCCCCTGATGCTGAACACATTTTAAAAGAAATAGTGCTGAAAAAGAAGACTACAGACACCGAGTCCCTTCTTTTCAATGCGCCACTGGCCTTCAAGCAAATCATTTTGGAACTGCACAAACTCTGCTTTTCTGCTCCTGCTTGGGTTATTTTAAGCTCACTTGTTTCTGGTGGCTGCAGGGTGAGAGTCAGTGGATGGTGCTGCGCTGCAGATTAGCATGCGCTTTCACTCAGAAGCCATGTCTCGTGGAGCGTGATGGGATTTGTGCAGCAGAAAGCCTTGTAAAGTCATAACAGTGTAAATGTGCAGAACCCTTGCTCTGTGACTGCTGCGTGTAGCTTTGTCCTTGTGGTCGACAAACAGAAGCACGTGGCTTTTATCTCCACGTGTGAAACAATGTCTGCCTATAAGCTTTTACAGTAGCAGCTGGCTGTGGCACCAAAGGGTGTTCACAGTCRAAAAGCTACATCATCTGACACAAAAGTTCAATTTTCATTCTTATCATTCATATATTCAATTATTTTTGAGGTACTTATATGACTTCTTATTGATGTTTTAGTATTAACCGTAGAGGCAGCTTTGTCAGGCGTACGATGTCCAAGTTTCTATCTATCTATCTA